TCTGTGAAGAGAACACGCAACACGGATCTGTCTCTCCGCCACCCGCGCCAACCCTGGATGGAAGTCTGGTCATGGTTGCCAGGATACGTTAGTCTGGTTGCCGTTGCCAGGATACTGGAAGTCTGGTCGCTGTTGCCAAGATACCGAAGTCTGGTCGCCGTCGCCAGGATACCGAAGTCTGGTCGCCGTTGCCAGGATACGGAAGAGTGACAACAGCCTCGCGCCCCCACGGCCGGCCACGTTCCGAGGCGGCTCTCTCCGAATACACTCGATTTCCAGCAAAATCACCCGCCTCCTCTTGGCCGCACTTTTACGGGATTTGGGGTTTTTTTAAATAATATATATATAATATGTGCGTGCGTGTGTGTATAGTTACCGACTTAGAAATTAAAAAAAAATCAAAACAAAAATCCGAACAGCATACTTGAAGAATGTAATACTCAAAAACTCTCAGTGCTTCCTCACGGTTTCTAATAAGAATTTTTTATTATTGTTATTATTATTATTGGGGTTATTTTTTTTTTTTGAAAGGATTCGGGAGGTGGGGGCAGGGTCTTTTATTTTATTTTATTTTTTTTCTCTGAAATAAAGAAGCGATGTTTTTAAACGAAGAAACGAGCGTGTGGCTGTTTTAAGCGTGCAACTGCTTGCTCCTCCTCCCTTGTGTCTGGAAACCGGTTAGAGGAGGAAAGAACTTGCCAGCCGGCAGGCACGATGGCTTGCGCCTGTCATCCAGCACTCGGGGAGGCCGAGGCGGGAGGATCGCTCGAGGTCAGGAGTTGGAGGCCAGCCTGAGCGAGAGTGAGACCCCGTCTCTACTAAAAAAAAAATAGAAACGAGCTGGACGACTAAAAATACATAGAAAAAAACGAGCCGGGCGTGGTGGCGCATGCCTGGAGTCCCAGCTACTAGGGAGGGAGGCCGAGGCAGGAGGATCGCTCGAGCCCAGGAGTTGGAGGCTGCTGTGAGCGAGGCTGACGCCACGGCACTCACTAGCCCGGGCGACAGAGCGAGACTCTGTCTCAAAAAAAAATAGAAATTAGCTGGAAAACTATAATAAAAAAATTAACCAGGCCTGTTGACACCTGTCATCCCAGCACTCTGGGAGGCCGAGGCGGGAGGATCGCTTGATTGAGGTCCGGAGTTGGAGGCCAGCCTGAGCCCAAGAGCGAGACCCCGTATGTACTAAAAAAATATAGAAAGAAATGAGCTGGACAACTAAAAATATATAGAAAAAAATATGAGCCGGGCGTGGTGGCACATGCCTGTGGTCCCAGCTACTCAGGAGGGAGGAGGCTGAGGCAGGAGGCTCGCTCGAGGCCAGGAGTCGGAGGCTGCTGTGAGCAAGGCTGACGCCACGGCGCTCACTCCAGCCCGGGCGACAGAGCGAGACTCTGCCTCAAAAAAAAATTAAATATCGAGCTATTTTGCTATTCAACGTAATAAAATTAAAAGAAAAATAAAGAATAAAAATTAGAAGAAAAAAAACGTGACCGATTATCCTAGACTGACTCACTGACCTAACGATGCTCAGTGGACTTATTAGTCCACGGACGGATTTTCTTTTTTTTGAGACACAGTCTGGCTCGGTCGCCCGGGCTAGAGTGAGTGCCGTGGCGTCAGCCTCGCTCACAGCAGCCTCCAACTCCTGGGCTCCAGCGAGCCTCCTGCCTCAGCCTCCCTCCCGAGTAGCTGGGACTACAGGCACGCGCCTCCACGCCCGGCTCGTTTTTTCTATATATTTTTATTTGTCCAGCTCATTTCTTTCTATTTTTTTAGTAGAGACAGGGTCTCGCTCTTGCTCAGGCTGGTCTCGACCTCCTGACCTCGAGCAATCCTCCCTCCTCGGCCTCCCAGAGTGCTGGGATGACGGGCGTGAGCCTCCGTACCCCGGCCCGGGGACAGTTTAGAGAAACGGACTTAGCCTTCCTCCCCCTTCTAGAAACCAGTCCCTTCGTCCCGGCGGGACTCGAAAGCTCAGCTGTCGAGTTGAGTCACAAGTGCTGTTCCCTCCCGGCCTCGTTCCATGCCACCCGGTGACGATGAGCAGTGAGCCTGTGACATTTCCCTACAAAGAACGACAAACCGCCTTTTGCCTGTTTCCCCTGGTCTGCCAAGAAACTCTTTTGGAACTAGATTAGCAGGGCCCTGCCTCTCTGAAAGAGGATGGTTTCTGTAACACTTCCAGCCTCCTTTTTGGGCCTCCCTGCCTCTGAAAGAGGATGGTTTCCGTAACAATTCCAGCCTCCTTTTTGGGCCTCCCTGCCTCTCTGAGAGAGGATGCTTTCCATAACATTTCCAGCCTCCTTTTTGGGCCTCCCTGTCTCTCTGAAAGAGGATGGTTTCTGTAACAGTTCCAGCCTCCTTTTTGGGCCTCCCTGCTTCTCTGGAAGAAGATGGTTTGCATAACACTTCCAGCCTCCTTTTTGGGCCTCCCTGTCTCTCTGAAAGAGGATGGTTTCAGTAACAGTTCCAGCCTCTTTTTTGGGCCTCCCTGCCTGAGAGAGGATGATTTCTGTAGCAGTTCCAGCCTCCTTTTTGGGCCTCCCTCAGGGCCGGCGTATTGTTTCCATAACGACGTGGATATTTTAACTCAGGTGCCCCAGTCTTCACTGAGCCTGGGTGATTGTAGCAGACAAGCGGGTTCTTGGTCCCTCAAAACTCGTGCCCAAACTAACGCCTGCAATCCCAGCACTCTGGGAGGCCGAGGCGGGAGGCTCCCTCGAGGCTAGGAGTTGGAGGCCAGCCTGAGCAAGAGCGAGACCCCGTCTCTACTAAAAAAATAGAAAGAAATTAATTGGCCAACTAAAAATCCTCCGGACTCAGCCTCCTCCCACAGTGCCCGACCGTGTTTGCTGTTCGCCGCGGGACACGCTAAGGCGGGGCTGCGGCTCGCGGGATTGGCGGGGCGAGCGCGGACAAAGGAAAAAGTCGGGGCCGAGTCAGTGTCTACACTGCGCGAGACAGATCTCAGGATGCTTATTGGTCGGGAAAGAGAGAGACAGAGAGAGAGGGAGAGAGACAGAGACACAGAGAGGGAGAGACAGAGGGAGACAGAGACAAGAGAAAGAGACAAGAGAGACAGAGACAAGAGACAGAGGAGAGACAGATGAGAGACAAGAGACAGACAAAAGACAAAGACAACAGAGACAGACGAGACAGAGACAGACAGACAAGACAGACACAGACAAGAGACGGAGACAAAGAGAGAGACAGAGACGAGACAGAGACAAGAGACAGAGGAGAGACAGATGAGAGACAAGAGACACAGACAAGAGACACAGACAACAGAGAGACAGAGACAGACGAGACAGTGACACAGACAAGAGACAGAGGCAGACAAGAGACAAACAAGAGAGAGAGACAGACAAGAGAGACAGAGACAGGAGACATAGACAAGAGACAGACAACAGAGAGACAGACAAGAGACAGAGACGAGAGAGACAGTGACACAGACGAGAGAGACAAGAGAGACACAGACGAGAGACAGAGACAAACAAGAGAGAGAGACAAACAAGAGAGACAGAGACACAGAGACAGACAAGAGACAGAGACTGATGTCCCGTCTGGCGGCTGCAGGTTCCCCGCGGCCGGTTTTGCCGTGTTGACGAGTGGACACGGACCCAGCTGTCCACGCGGTGGTCGCCTCGGGTCTGTTTTTTCTTTCATTTTTGCAAATTCTGTTCCCGGTGACGAGCTTGTCTGAGAACTTCCTGCTAGTCCGTGCAGTAGAGTCAGTGTGTGACTGCCCGGCACCTTTCTTTTGAGTCAGAGTCTGGCTCCGTTGCCCGGGCTGGAGTGAGCGCCGTGGCCTCAGCCGCGCTCACAGCAGCCTCCGACTCCCGGCCTCAAGCAATGATCCTCCCTTCTCGGCCTCCCTCCCGAGTAGCTGGGACTACAGGCACGCGCCACCACGCCCGGCTCGTTTTTTTTCTACATATTATAATTTGGGCAATTAATTAATTTCTATTTTGATAGTAGAGACGGGGTCTCGCTCTTGCTCAGGCTGGTTTCGAACTCCTGGCCTCCAGCGATCCTCCCTCCTCGGCCTCCACACAAGTAGCTGGGACGACAGGCGTGCGCCACCACGCCCGGATCATTTTTTTTCACGTATATTTTTATTTATCCAGCTCATTTCTTTCTATTTTCGGTAGAGATGGGGTCTCGCTCTTGCTCAGGCTGGCCTCCAACTCCTGACCTCGGGCGATCCTCCCTCCTCGGCCTCCTCCCGGAGCGCCGGGGTTGACGCATGTCGCAGCCGGGGCGGCTCTCTCAGTCCGTCTGGACTTGGCAGGCGCTATTTCAGACTAGCGCCGTAAGGACTACCCGTTCCCTGGGGGGCCCCGTGAGATCCCGACGCCGCCTCCCCGGCGGGGCCGGCTGCACATCGACATTTCCGGTTTCCGGCGCTGCGGTCGAGGCTGTCCTCCCTCCGCGGCCTCCCTTCCCCGCCCGCGTCCCGCGAGACAACACGACGCGACGTCCCGGCGTCTACACCGCCGGCGCCGCCCGCGTCCTCCCCGCTCCCCGGCTCCAGTCTGTCCTCGGCTCCGGGGGAGGCCGGTCGCGGAGGCCGGGCCGCGCGGGCCGCTTCCCAGACGCGACAGCGAGGAGACGAGCGTCCCTGCCCGAAAAGAGGCCGAGGCCGCCATCACCTCAGCCGCCGGCTCCGCGAAGGAAGGTCGCGCGGCGCCTCCGAGTGACGTAGAAGCAGCCGGCGCAGGCGCAGAGCAGCTGCGGAGAGAGACGCGCAGGGTAGCCGCGTCATCACCCTGCGCGGGCCGCGCTATTGGTTGCCAGCTGTAGTCCCGCCCCTGCGACTTCCGCTTAGGCCTGCGATTGGCTGCGGCGGGCGACAGGCGCAGGCTGTTGGCGTCATCACGTGGCAAAGGCCTTCTCATTAGTTTCCGGCGGCGATCCTGCCCTTCCGGGTTCCGTTTAGCCCTGCGGAAGGCTACGGCAGACCGCGCAAGCGCAGTACAGTGGGCGAGATGCGCAGGACAGTGGCGTCACCACCCAGCGCGGGCCTAGTCATTGGTGGCCAGCAGTGGTCCCGTCCTTCCGACTTCCGCTTAGGCCTGCGGGAGGCTGCGGCGGACCGCGCAAGCGCAGTGCGGTGGGCGAGACGCGCAGGCTGTTGGCGTCATCGCCCGGCGCGGGCCTGGGAATTGGTTGCCGGCGGTGGTCCCGCCTTTCCGGGTTCCGCTTCCGCCTGCGGAAGACTGCGGCGGACCCCGCAGACGCGGTTAAGTGGGCGAGACGCGCAAGCCCTCGCGTCATCACCCTGCGCGGGACTCGGTATTGCTTTCCGGCGGTGGTACCGCCCTTCCGACTTCCGCTTAGGCCTGCGTCGGGCTGCGCAAGCGCAGTGCGGTGGGCGAGAGGCGCAGGCTGGTGGCGTCATCACATCGCTGTAGGCAGCAGACTGCGCAGGCGCAGTGCCGCTGGCGAGACGCGCAAACTTGTGGCGTCATCAGCAGGCGCACTACTGGGCGGTGGTTCCCAGCGGCGGTCCCGCCTTTCCGGCCTCCACCCACGATTGCGTTGGGCTTCGGCGTGCCGCGCAAGCGCAGTGCTGTTGCCGCGACGCGCAGGCCGGAGGCTTCCATCACATCGCCCCGGGCAAAAGACCGCGCAGGCGCAATGCCGCTGGCGAGACGCGCAGGCTGGCGGCGTAATCACCCGACGCGGGATTGGGCGATGGTTGCGGCGTCCGTACCGCCCTTCCTGCCTCCACCTCGGCGTCCGGTACGCTGCGGGAGGCCGCGCAAGCGCACTGAGGATGGCGAGACGCGCAGCATGGTGGCGTCATCAGCCGGCGCGGGCCTAGACGGTGTTTTCCGGCCGTCGTCCCGCCCTCTTAGCCTACTCATAGTAATGGAAGAGGGCGCGCAAGCGCAGTGCCGCTTCAGAGAGACGCCCGGTCTGGTGACGTCATCAGCCGGCGCGGGATTGGGCGGTGTTTGCCTGCGCCGGTCCCGCCCCTCCGGCCTCCACCTCGGCCTACGATAGGCTCCGCTGTTTCGCGCAAGCGCAGTGCGCGCCGTGTGGCGACGCGAACCAGTGACGTTAACAGCCTGCGCCGGCGTCGCTAAATGGGAGGCGGCCGCGGAGCATGGACGACCACCGCGGAGCTCCCTGCCTCTGGCGGCCTTTTCCGCGAGCCTGCGCGCCCTAGTCGCACCCTCCGCCGTGTGGCCCCTGCTTTTCGCCCTTTTAGGCGCTCAGCGGCGGGTGGGGCAGCGTCGGGGTCCCCGGAGCCGCCGGGGACGAGGCTGTGGGCTCTCAGGGCTCGCTCAGGTCCCGTGGAACCTTCTGGAAGGAAGCGCCGGGGCGGGGGGGGGCGTTTCCGGGACTGGGGCCTCGAGCGGCGCGGTGGCGGCGGGTGTCGCAGCTGGATGGCGTCACCGCGCGGCGCCAGCCGCTGGAGGAGCCGTTGCTTAGCAACCACGCCCACCTCCCAGCTATTCCCGCCTCCAGATTTGGGGGCCTCGGGTTCCTGTTTTTGTTTTTTGGAGACAGAGTCTCGCTCTGTCGCCGGGGCTGGAGTGAGCGCCGTGGCGTCAGCCTCGCTCACAGCAGCCTCCGACTCCTGGCCTCCAGCGATCCTCCTGCCTCAGCCTCCCTCCCGAGTAGCTGGGACTACAGGCACGCGCCACCATGCCCGGCTCGTTTTTTCTATATATTTTTACTTGTCCAGCTCATTTCTTTTCTATACTTTTAGTAGAGACGAGGTCTCGCTCTTGCTCAGGCCGGCCTCCACCTCCTGACCTCATTGAGCGATCCTCCCTCCTCGGCCTCCCTCCCGAGTAGCTGGGACTACAGGCGTGCGCCACCGCGCCCGGCTCGTTTTTTTTTTTTTTTTCATATATATTTTTAGTTGTCCAGCTCATTTCTTTCTATTTTTTCTACTTTCTTCTCTCTCTCTATTTTTCTGTATATATAATTTCCCTTTAGTGACTCGTGCATACAAAAATTCCTGAGTGTCGCTTTTGGCATTTTTTTTTATGTTGTTGTTGTTATTGTTTTTGGGTTTTTTTTGTTTTTTTTTTTTGCAATTTATACTTGTTTACGAACAATCAATAAGTATACTTCAGTCAACTGGGTGCATGCAGTGGTGCATAATTACAGACCTGAGGCTGCCGGTTCCTGGGGTTCGCCCTGGCCAGCGAGTGTGGAATCAAAGGGCGGGAAGCTTTTGGACGCTGGCGAACAGACCTCGGCCCAGACACGGCCCCGACGCGGCTGTCCCCGCTGAGCATCTCAGCGCGGTTCCCAGGGTTGCGTATTTATTCCATCATTTTCTAGAAGATACTGGCGGGGGAAAAAAAGAAAAGAAAAAGAAAAGAAAAAGTCAAGTTGGGCACGCTTAAGAGGAAAAATGGCACGAGACCAGCTTATGACCTGCTCCTGGTTCAAGGTGACCCGGCACGCAAGGGTGGGAGACAGACAGACCGTCACCCAGCTGTTGGGGACAGGAGCTTGGAGGCCCACGCCTGTCATCCCAGCCACTCCGGGAGGCCGAGGAGGGAGGCTCGCTCGAGGCTGAGAGGTGGAGGTCGGCCTGAGCAAGAGTGAGGCCCCGTCTCTACTTTAAAAATTAGAAGAGAAAATAGCTGGGCAGACAACTAAATATATATATATATAATATTTTAATAAATATAAATATACGTCCACTATAACAAATATACAAATATATAAATAATATGTGTATAAAAAAAACGAGCCGGGCGTAGGAGGCGCGCATGCCTGTAAGCCGCTACTCGGGTGGGCATGAGAGGAGGCTCGCTGGAGGCCCAGGAGGTGAGTACCGGCTGACCAAGAGCGCGTGGCCGTCTCTCTTTAAAAGAACAAAAAATACAAAAAAAAATTAGCTGCACAACTAAAAATATATAAAGGAAAAAATAGCCAGGCGCGGAGGCTCACTCCTGTCTATCCCAGCGACTCTGGAGGCCGAGCCAGAGGATGCTCCGAGCAGGGAGTTGGAGGCCGACCTGAGCAGAGCGAACCCGTCTCTACTAAAATAGAAAGAAATGAGCTTGATGAACTAAAAATAATAGAAAAAAAAAATGCCGGGCGTGGAGGCGCACGAGCCTGTAGTCCCAGCTACTCCGGAGGGAGCCAGGCGGGAGGATCGCTCCGGGTCAGGAGTTCGAAACACAGCCTGAGCGGTGATGGGACAGCCAGGCCACAAAACAAAAGGCACCGGGGCCCGTGTTTTTTTTTTTTTTATTTTTTTTTACCTGGTCATCCTGGCTTCGGGCAGGCGGAAGGCGGCACTGGGAAGGAAGTAGGGGAGGCCCCTGGTGTAAGATCCGAAGTCCAGGGTAGGCGCCGGTCCCCAGCCCCAGCGGATCCCGGTCCAGCACT